TAGTGAAATAAACAGTACGTCTGGGCAATCCATGCTTTTGGCTTAGAACAATTCAAAATAGGATGTGAGTAATGAAGAGGAAATTTTGTATACATATATTGTGTGTGTGTGTGTCTAACTGTAGTCTTGTTAGACATATGCTGGCTAGGCGGGTTTGGTGATGCTGAAGATTATTTATTTCTCACATAATGCAAATGACATTTGGTAAAACTGCTCTGTTATTACTGCTGGAGAAATAAGGAGGAAAGTCATTCTGAAACAGCCTTTTAAAACAAGGCATTTGGCTAACGGAACCTTTGGATGATGACAAGGGTTAATTGATGACTGAATTTGCCAGGATAAAAAGATAAAAAGTCAAGAAATAGCACTTCTATTGGGGCCCAACATTGACTCAGGCCAATTGGTCCTACTGTTACACAGTGAAAAACTAAGTAAGCAGTTATCCCAAGATTGAGCATATATTCACTGATTGAGGTGATTCAGATTACACCAGTAAAAACAAACAAAAACCCCTTCCTTTTTCCTTAATACATTTTTTTTGCCTGAATTATCAAAAAAGGCAAAAACAAAAACTATCTCAGTTCTCCTCTCCCCTTTCCTTAGGTAGTCAAAGCCAATGTGATCAAGTCAAATCAATAAGCATTTATTAAGCACCTACTATGTGCCCCATGCTGTGCTAAGAACAGGGGATGAAAAGAAAGGCAAAAAGGAACTCATCATGGAAGGGACAACCTGCAAACAACCCTGCATATGCAGCATAAATTGGGGGCAACCTCAGAAAAAAAGACAGTAGTAGCATTAAGGGGAGGTGGATAAATTGCTCAACTGTAGAGTCTCATTCTACTAATCTGGAGTTGTAAAGATTAATTAGATAAGATCAAGATTACTTTTAGTTATTAGGTGATAGTGGATACATACACATGCATCTCTCTTACTTTCTTGGTATACACTCATATGATATTATCATATGTAATTGGTGTCTTGACCTCTGTACCCAGTCTCATCTCATCATTTCCCACCTGGCTACTCTCCTGGACTTCATCACTGTCTCCAGAGAGTCCTCTTCCAGTGAGATCACCTCAGCCATGTGGGAATCTCCTGCCCCGGGGCCATTCCCTCGCTTTCATCCATATCCTCCAGACTTCTCTGGCCCCAAACACTGCCCGATCTAGCCCTTCCCCCTTCGGGGCATCCTCCCTTTCCCCCCTTCTCCCAATGCTTTTCAACTTTTTTTCTGTATTATCTTCTCAAATTGTGAGTTCCTTGAGAGCAGGGACTGTCTTTCACCTTCCTTGTATCCCTAGTGTTTACCATAGTAGCTGCTACATAGTAGGTGCTTAATAAATTTTTATCAAATGACTGTTACCTATGTAGAAGGCTCATCAAAAAAAAATGCAACAAACTGTTTTGGTCTTGGCAAGAAGGAAGTGAAAAGAGTTAATTTTTTAGTTTTTGCTATTTTTGCTTTTAAAAAAGACTGTTATATAAATGCATTTAGAACTTTGGAGGTGGGAAGCATATTTAACAAGATTCCACATCTATAGCATAGTGTTGTGTGGCTCAAAGGGAAGCAGAATAGACATTGCTAGCCTCTCCCCTCCCCAAATACTGCCAGGAAGGGGAGCAAGAAGTTGGGGCTGGCAGCCACTCGGCTCTCCTTAGAAAGAAGGGGTATCAAGCTAGCAGTATCTGTGTTTGCTCCGTTTAATATTGTTGTTTCATCTCAACCAAGAGGGACAGTTCTAGACCTCACCCAAAAGGAAACCCCTGAAGCCTCTCCTGTAGCAAGCTGGACCTAGAGACAAGATGGAGACACCAGCTCCTCTCATGGCTTCCCAGAGTCTTTTCCTTCAGCAACCTGAGTGGGGTTGGTCTCTTCTATATTACCCCTCAAAGCTAGAAGCCAGAAGTGCCCAAAGCAACTTACTGTTTGAGGAGTCTTGAATTATACTTGAAGCTTGTAGAGTCCCAAAGTGGACTGATGGTGGTTGGAGCTCTCTCCACCCTCACCAGCTCATCCCACCCCTCAATGCAGGGCATGGCATTCATCTCCACCAATAAGAAGAGAGTCCTACACCAATGGGCTTTGGAACAGGGGTTACACACCCTAAAAATTTGTTAGAAATTGAATCTCCATTAAAGTCCTGTTGGTGCTTCATCATGGAGGGAAGTTAATGTTGGGTTGGGTTGGGCATAGCTATGCCAGGGGAGCAAAAACTCTGATAAGTCCTACCAAGCTGAATGCCTTCAGCTATGGGCCTTGTGTATCATCGAAGGACCAGCTGAGTCTCTCCTCACTTCTCACCTAGATTATTGTAATAGCTCCTTAGTCACTCTGTCTCAAGACTCTCCCCCCTCCAATCCATCCTTCATAGAACTGCTCAAGTGATTTGTCTAAAGGGTAGGATAGGCCCATGTCACTCTACTATTCAGTAAATTCCAATAGCTCCCTGTTATCTCTAAGATCAGATATAAATTCCTCTGTTTTACATTTAAAGCTCTCCACTACATGGTTCCTTCTTACCTTTCCAGCCTTAATATGCATTACTCTTCTTCATTCACTTTATAGTCCAGCCACTCTCACCTTTTTATTGCTCTTCACGTATGGCATTCCATTTCCCGTCTCTATGGTATTGTATTGTCTGTCCCTATGCCTGGAATGTTCTCTCTCTCCCTCCCTCCCTCCCTCCCCTCTCCCTCTCTTTCCATCTCTCTCTCTCTCTCCTTCCCCCGTCTGTCTGACTGTCTGTCTCCTCCTCTCTCTTCTCCTCCCATCTCTCTCTCTCTCTCTCTCTCTCTCTCTCTCTCTCTCTCTCTCTCTCTCTCTATCTCTCTCTCTCTCTCTCTCTCTCTCTCTCTTTCTCCTTCCAGCCCTTAAATTTCTTAGCTTCCTTCAAAGCTCAGCTCAGGTGCCACCTTCTACATGAAGCCTCTCCTTAATACTTCAACTATTAGTGCCCTCCCTCTAAAATTATCTCTATTTTTGCATATATTTTGTATTGACCTATGTCTACCTTGTCTGATATCTGCCCCAAATCTTGTATCCCCTCCCTATGATATATGTTCTTTAAGAACAGAGACTGTTTCACTCCTTTGTATCCTCACCTAGAAACAGTTCCTGAAACACAGTAGGTGCTTAATAAATACTTGTTCATTGAGTGAGAAACTCCTCACCAGAACATAAGCTACTAGTGATGGATTCAATTTTTTGTGGGGGGGCCTTTTGTGGGGGTATTTTTGTCCACATAAAACCACTAAGACTGTCTTTTAAGGTGTGGAAGGGTTGGGAGCCTTGCTGATAGATTTCCCATAATAACAAAATAAGGATCTTTTGAAGTAATCGGGAATCCAAAAACAGTACGTTATTCCTTACTAAACCAGAGGACAGTGTACTCAAGGTCCTTTAGTGCCCATTAGTGTCCATGGACAAGCTAGCAACCTTTCCAATAGCTTTCTTTCTCCTCCCTTTCTGGGATCTGAGTTCTCCAGACCAATAACCCAGGTTCAAGCTGTCACTTGTAGCAGTAGCAGCAGTAATTGGTACAGGGATAATATCCGCTACAGCAACAAAGAGGTTAGAGACTGCACCAAACCAGCAGAAGTGCAGCTCGGAGAGCATTTGAAATATTCTCTCAGCTTAGATTCTTAAAATCTAGCCACTGCTCAGATTCTTATAATCTAGCCAATAGCTTGCTAATGTTCAGAGTCCTTAAGAGTCTGTCCCATATGACAGATGTTCTAATAAACCATGTCTTTGTCTGAAAAAAGAAAAAAGAAAAGAAAAGAAAAGAAAATAGAAAAAAAAGAAAAGAAAAGAAATATTCTCTCAAAGGGCACCCATAGCCCCAATTTTAATTATTGACAAGCATTCTAACTGATCTTAAGATGACTTTTTATTTAAATTTTACAATCATGGAAAGAGCCCTCAACTAAGAATCAAGGGATCTGAATTGTCATCCCAGTTCTGCTAATAACTAGCTAAATGACTTCTAGACCTTGTTTCCTCATCTGTAAAATGAAGAGATTGGATTAGGTGACCTCTAAGTCCCCTTCCAATCCAACATCTGATTCAACAACCTCTCAGAGCCTCAATTTCCTCATCTATAAAAATGAGAATGGTAGGCTAGATTGTTTTTTAACATTCCTTACCAAAATCCATACTCTGTGATTAGGGGTAGTGTGGTATACTGTCAAAAGCCTTGTAGGCTTGGAATTAGAAGACCTGGGTTCAAGTACCACCCCATATAATTGATTATGATGACAATAATAGCTAGTATTTACATAGTGACATAATGTTTGCAAAGCATTTTACAAATACCATCTATTTTATACTCACGATGACCCTGGGAGGTACAGACTATTATTGTCCCTGTTTTGTAGATGAAGAAACTGAAACTGTGAACACTTAAGTAACTTGCCCAAGGTCACACATTTATTAAGTGTCTGAGGAAGGATTTGAATTCAGGTCATTCTGACTTCAACATCAGTGCTCTATCTGTCGAGCCAGCTGCAGGACCCTGAGAAAGTTACTTGCTTTGTTGGGTTTTTTTTTTCACTTGTAAAGCAAGGATAAAAATATTTGTTTTACCTATTTCATAGCATTTTCTAGATCTTAAAGCACTATGTAAATGTGAGTTCTGAGATGATAATGATAATATGATAATCATTGATTTATAATCTCAGTCCTGCTATATTAGAAGAAAGTTAAAATTTAAAAACTGTCATGCTTTTTAGGACACAGAGAAATGTATGACATGACTGCACTGCAGGCTTGTACTTTTTAAAATGTGAACCAAAAGGGTGACTTGATCAAAATGCCCAAGTTTGAGAACAACAAAAATAATACAGGAAAGGAGCTCATAAATTTCTGCACAAGGGGAAAATTGTTATTGTTGTTGTTGTGTTGTATAATACATTTAATAATAACATAACACTTCAAGATTTACAGAACACTCTACATGCATTATTTTATTAGTAAGATAGAAAAGAAATCTATTTACCAATTTGTCTCATGTAGATATGTGTTCATGCTCCCAAGAAATCTTATAAAGGGAAGATAATGGCAAATGACTTCCATTCTTCAGGTAATAAATATGATTCTTGAGCTTTTCTGAAGAAAATGGATGGGAGCAAACTAGCAAAGGTCCATGAAATGGGAAATCTCCACATAATTCCACTTATACAATTCTATGAAAAACAGAATAGAAGTATTTCATTGTTCTACAAGTAAAAAACAAAAACAAAAAAACCAAGCAAGTGTGTAAACGTCATATAGGAATATTGTCTGCTTCCCATCCCATCTGACTTCCTACCATTGCAGAATGAAGGCTATTAACCAAACTTCAAGTGATGGTTTCTACCATGGTCTTCTCCAATTTTTCTTCATAAAATGTTTTTTCTAATCAAACTCATTTCAGCCTGTGGTTGTGTAATTGCATTAGAGCTATCTTTAAAGAGTATAATTTGTCACCAGATCCCAATCATTGGATCTTCCATTTAATTGTTGTAGTGATGGAAGGGATCTTAAAAGACATCACATCCAACTCCTTCATTTCATAGTTTAAAAACCTAAAGCACAGAGAAGTGAAATAACTGCCCACGGTCACAACCCTAGAAAATAGTTGAGGTAGGTTAGAATCCAGATCTTCCTGACTCAAATTTGGTACCCTATCTACCATGTTGCCTTTCGAACTTTAGCTACCTTATCTTCATCTGAGCAGTACCCATCCTCAAGGATTTCCCCTGCTCTCCAACTCTTCCAATCCCAGTGATGAAAATAACCCATTATCATGGAGAACTACCTAGATATAAAGATCCTTATAGAGGATAAGCAGTTTCTTAGAGTTTCCCTGACATACAGATACAGCAAGTGAATAAGGTGAATGAATAATACTTATGGCAATTTAAAAAATAGCCCTTTAGTGTCACTAATCCCAGAAAAGCCAAATCTAACATTTACTTTTGTGTTTGGTTCTCCTGAAATACATTTTTGTCTAGGAAACCACTTTCCTCCCCCAATAACAACAAAAATCTACAGGGAAATAGGAAAATTTGAGGAAGCCCAATTCTACTTTTCTTTCTGTCATCTCACATACCAGCTCCTAACACTCAAGAGAAGTATGATATATGAGTAAGTGGGCTCATTAGTTGCAATATCTCATTAGACCTTTTAAACCAAAGACCCTACCTCTGAAGGTTATGGGGCAGCAGAGATATATAGCCTCCTACTATATCTGCAACAGCTCCAAGTTAACTGTCAGTATTTTTTTAATCCTCTTAGTTATCTTAATGCATTTTTTTTTTGTGGAATGTGGTTTGCCAACAATCTCCAGTTATTACTTTACATAGTAAATTCACTTTTAGGGGCTTCTGTCCCTAGAAAAGAGACATTATTCTGATTATATTTTGTGTGGGAAATGAATTTGTTTACAGGTTTGCTACAAATACATTTCTTTTTAATTCTCTTCTTTTGGGTACTTTCATAAACCGTCAAAGAATAGAGACAATTTTTGTAATAAAATCCTGCTAAACCGAGCTCTCACAGTAACAAATCCCTTGGCAGGAGGCCTGTCAATGGAGCATTTCCAGGACCTCAGTCTGAACTGCAGCCAGAGGCTCCTCCTAAGAATGGGCCCAAGACGGCTTGTCACCTTTCACCTTTGACCCTTCCCCCAGCTGCCTCATGCTTTGTGAACTTGAAATCTTGTGAGAGAATGCTGAGCCGTCCTGTTTACAAACAGCCTATTTATTCCTCAGGAACAGCTTGGCTGGACATATCCAGGTCACCTGACCCTGCGTTGTCACAGAAACCATGAGCTTCAGACTCTTCCTGTAGTTAAGCCAAAACGGCAGCATTTTTGACTGGTTGAAACTGGTGCTGAATTGTGAAGTCATTCTCACTAAGCGAACTCACTTTTGGGCTTCCGGCACACTCCACCAAAGTCAAGGTGTGAAACGCAACAACTGTCATACTTGAACCATAGGATTTGGGAGTCATGCACTGACTGGGAAAGAACAACACATACCAATTGAACCACCATTTTATAATTTCAACAGCTTCCCTGTCTTAGACCTTGCTAAGTTTACATCTATACAAACCAAATTCATGCACTTTTCTTTAGCTGTCTCCAAACTGTATGTAACCTTTGTTTTAGTCTGATTTTTAAGTGTCAGCCACTTACCTGATGAAATTCCTTGCTTTATCCCTTTTTCTCCAACCTTTGTGACCCACCATCTCCAGGGCTGTTGGCTTGTTCATTATTGGTGATATTTTGCAGGAAAGAGTCATCTGAAATCATTATACATGACTTTAAGAAAAAAAAATAGATGGAAGCTCGAATGTAGAAGACAGGTAAATTAGGAGTTAGTCATTCATATAACAAAAGGTTTTGCAAGTTTATAAATAAGAACATATCTGAGAGTTTCTTTTGTAAGGCTTCAATACATTAAACCAGGATTTGATTACAAAATTCTAAGTACAAACCAACTTTCTGAATATTTGTTGTGTAAAGCAAAGGATGGCTTTAGTGAGCTTTCTTGGGTTAGGAAAAATCCATCATGGTGTCTCATTTCCTGTTGTTCAATGAATAAAAAATGAAGTTGTTGTTGTTTTTCATGTGTTCATGGTACCTTCAAATTGAAATTCACAAATGTTAGCTGAGGAATCTTAAATTTGAGAAAAATATTTCCTTTTTTTGAACCAAGAAGATAATTTGTCAAATGTAAAAGTAAAATATGTGTTATTTGATAAAAACATATGTTTGTGGTATAAATTGAGTGTTTTTCTTATCTTGCTCAGATCTTATCTATTATGACAGGGAAATATTAGACTTTATTCAATAGGCAAGAGGGAGCCATTGAGGGCTGTAGGCAAAGAGACTTTGTCAGAACTGTGATCTTAAAAACTGGTCTGCATTAGAAGGGTGAAATGACTAGAAGTGGGATGATCAGTCAGGAAACTATTGTAATAGGTGGGAAAAAAGAAGGACCTGAACCAGTATAGGAATGAAGAATGGGTATAGAGAGGACAATTAAGGGGGACTTCATGAATAACTGGATAAGGGAGGAGAATTCACAAATGAATTTCAAATCTGGCTAAAACCATTGACAGATACAAGAAAGTCAAGGGGCTTGAGGATGAAGATGATGATTTCAATTTTGGATATGTTGAGTTTAAGGTTTTGGCAGGACCTCCAAGTGAAAATGTCCAGAATAGGGTTGGAAATATAGATGTGGAGTTCAGGGAGAAGTTAGGGCTAGAAATTTAGATTTGGAAGCTATACATACAGAGATGGAGCTGTGGGAATAAAGGGGTCCTGCAAAGCAGAGAGTACAGAAACAAAAAGACTAAGAACAAAACCCTCCAAAAAGGCCACATTTGTAGGAGGAAAAGTGAAAAAAAGGGATTGTGGAAAAGACAGAGAAGAAGGAGCAAGAGAGAGGGGAGAAGGACCCAGAGAATGCAAGATCACAGAAATAAGGGAAAAAAGAATCTTTCAAGAAGAAAGGAGTGGGAGTTAATAATGCTAAATGCAAGAAGAGATCTAGGGGATGATTACTATGAAAGATTGTGAGATTTATCAACTACCAAGATATTGGATGACCTCATAGATGCAGTTATTGGAAACCCACATCCAAATCCTTTGTGTGTATATACAGAATTAATTCCCAAATGTTGCTACCTGTTCATAAAAGCACAAATAAAAGCAAAATTGGAAATTGTCAGTATTTGACTTACTCAATGAGTAAATGAAATAATGTAGGTAAAGTGCTTTGTAACTTACAAAGATATATATCGCACAAAAATAAACTTATATATGTGTGTATGTGTCACCATTTTTTAGTCATGTCTGACTCTTCATGACCCCTTGTGGGGTTTTCTTGGAAAAGATACTGAAGTGGTCCACCATTTCCTTCTCCAGCTCATTTTTTAAGATGAGGAAACTGAGGCGAACAAAGTTAAGTGACTTGTTCACAGTCACACAGCTAGTAAGTGTCTGAGGCTGGATTTGAACTCAGATTTTCCTGATTCCAGGCCTGGTGCTTTATCCACTGCACCAACCAGCTGCCCTTGTATGTATATATGTATATGTATATATTATTGTTATTACTTAGAGGGCCACCTCTGTAAAAGAATTATGAAACCTGCTGTATTCTTCAGAATCTGACCCTACTTGGAATCCTTCCAATGAAAAATACATATACAGCATGTCCCAAAAATCTTTGTGACATTTTAAGCTTTAATTAGTTTGAAACCATACTAAGACTTTTGAAACACCCTAAAGATCATGCCCTATAGATTTCAGTGTTTTGAACTACATGCAATTACAAGATTTCTTCCCAAAGTTCTTTTGATTGCCTACATCATCCTATTTCTGACTGCCAATGTCTCTTTCCTGTGATGAATTCCTAAAACTGAAAATCCCTTTGAAGTTATTGAACTGATAATACAAATTATATAAAGAGATCATCTCACCATTAAGTCTGACTCTGACTCAAGAAAGAGTTGTGATTTGAATAGATTTGCACCCCAAACCTAAGACAAAAGTCCAGCCCAGAAATAATTAGGATTTTTTTCTCTTAAAAGAAGATTGTAGAAAAAGAAGGAGGGGGAAAGCACAAATAGTTACAATTGGGAAGGAATACAACAAAATAATGTATCGCAACCACTTATTTGAGATGAAAGCAAATGGTCATGGGAACACTACCACGGGCAAACCCCTGTTCTAGGGTGGCTGCTAACATGGAGTAAATCACCAGGAAATGACAAGATGATGCTGAGATGCCTGTTCGGAAGAGAAGGTAAGCTGATTGGCACATTAGTAGTCTGGAGAAATTGTTTTAAAATAGTTCCTATAAAAATACGATGTTATTAGTGGTTCTGTAAGAGAGAGAGAGAGAGAGAGAAAGAGAGAGACAGAGAGAGACAGAGAAACATTAAGCCTATAAATACAGGCTTACTATGTGTCAAGCACTGTGCTAAATGCTAGGAAAGCAAATGCAAGCAAAAAGAATGAAAAAAGTCTCTTTTAAAGGAATCTGCGTTTAGAATGTGAAATACTCTATAAAAGAGAAAATGTGAGATCAGATTTGTGGAAATGATCGGTCGTGGAGTCTCCGGAAGTTCAAGAATATGAACAACTTACTGGGGTTTGTACGGTAATTCACATAAGTTATAACACAGGGGTTGTTGTAGGGCTCAAAGAAGATAATATACCTAAAGTGCTTTGCAAAAGTTAAAGTGTTGTATAAATGCCAGCTATTGTCATTATTGTTGTTATCAATTTAACATAAATAATTTAAATGCCATGAAATGAACTAACTATGGAAATATACATTAGCTTATTTTTATCTTGGAGAGAAATGAAACATCCATTCATATCATCCACAAACTTGCCATTAGTTTCCACAATGATCATATTCAGAAGAAATTTATTCATCGTTCAAATGGTAATTATATGTATGAAGTGCTAATAGTCTGCTGCTAACTAGCCCTGAAACTTTAGACAAATCCAAGCCTTCCTGGATCTCAGTTTTCCCAATCTGTCAAATTAAGGATTCTAAGATTTCTTATTCTAAAATTCCATAGTTCTACTTCACATGATTTCCAAGAGAATATTTCAGGAGAATATCTTGAAATATCTTTGTTACTGACAAAGATTCCTTATTTAAAATCTAAAGTAGCCCAAGAAACAATAATTAAATCATTGATGTGTGGTCTAATCCAGTGATGTCAAAGTCAAATAGAAATGAGGACCACCAATCCATACACAAGGATCCTCGATGGCCACGTTCAAATGTAACTATATCTACATTTTGTTGTATTCTTATTTATTTTGTCAAACATTTCCCAGTACCATTTTTATCTGGAGGGGATGACATTGTTGCTAGACACAGGCAGCCAGGGCAGCGTGTCTGAACCTTGTGGTCTAATCTAGTGACCCCACTGCCATCATTGTTCCGTTTATAAATCGTCACATGAAAACTTCATGGTATTTTTTTAGTGTATTTTTGATGCTGAATTCAAAATGCAAACAGAATGTCTCTATCACTCTATCACTATAACTAAGTGACATGTAACTTTTCTTTTAAAACTATTCAGTATGAGTTGGCAATAAAGTGTGGTTTGACTGAGGACAGGCTAGGGGGAGATATAGTGAGAAGTCATTAGGTGGCTTATTCTTTGCATGTGGTGTGAAGTCCCAGTTTAAGTGTTATGTGACAGGGCAGGCTAAGACATGTTCATGAGTGTTCAATCATGTAGTAAAACTCTCAATATGTAACAGCTGTTCTGTCAATTGTGTGTAGGGTGTCATTTTGGTGAACATCGTTATTGTTTCTAATCCTGTTTTCTCAAGTGCCTCGTATTCTGTATATGTTGGCATTTGTTACTTAAATTCTCAATATGACTTATAAGTGTGTCAATCATTCAAAGTAGTTATTGTTAGGTATGCAGGAAGATAACTTTAAAATCTCAGAGACAAAACTTTACTAATTGAGAAATCATGTGAATGCATTTTGGTTGCAAGCTAGATGATGAGGATAAGGCTTGGATCCCTCACTAATGGTGTATCACTGTGTTTCACTACTGAATGGCAGGATACAGAGATCTTGTCACATGATTTGGAGAAAACAAAAAGCCCATTTCACAGATTGCTACTTTTGACTAATAAAAAAATCAAGAATATTCCCTCCAATTCTAAACATATGATACCAAAACCACCAGAAATGTAGAATTGAATGAAGTTGAGCCTGACGATTCAGATTCTACCAATGATGCTCAATGACAAGGTAAGAGAAGAGCAAGGTGGCAGTCTCCCATTTGAAGTAAACATTCTGTCTCTAGGTCTTCATTTAACAACTCAAGTAGACCTAAATGAACTTGTTTGTGATTTTATCCAAAAATTAAGCTAAACATTTTGCTTCTAAAAGGATGGAATATCCTGCAAGAGGGCAACAAAATATGTCCAAAACATAAATTTCTTTTGAGACACATTTCCTATGAAAAGTACTCTTGGCATTTCCATGGGGATCTCAAAATGTTCCCTCTACTACCAGGATTACAACATAGGGATAAGGAATATGATTTCTTTAGTAGTGGGGGCTCCCAGAGAGGAACTTTCTCAACAAATGCAGGTCAGCATTTTCTGCACCTTTTCTGAAATTTATAATCTTAGAGAATTGCTCAAAGCGCTGAAGGGTTAAGCAACTTGTCCAGGGCCACATAGCCAGGACGTATCAGAGACAGAATTTGAACTCAGGCTTTCCTTATACTGAGATTGGCTCTATATCAATTCCATCATTCTGCCTCTTAACATTGCTTGGATGTACCAAATATTGATGTTTTACTTGTGAATGGTACAAGAGAAGCAGGAAAAAAAATGACCACATTAAATAATACTGGCCTCAGAGGGAAAAAATTATTCTGGGAAGAAAAACATGCCAATCATTCATTAGTCCTGAAATTTTTTTCTTACCACCACTGAGCATTCAACTTGATCTATTGAAATATTTTGTCAGGATGAAGAATCAAAATGATGATGATTTCTTTACCTGAAAAATATATTTCCAAGAATCAGTGAGGCTAAAGTCAAAGAGGAATTATAAAGAAAGTGATAAAAGATAAACATTTTGAGGAAGAGTTTAATTAAGTTGACAGAACTATATAGATATCATTTTTTAAAGTGACCAAAAACTTTTGGGAGGGGGACTATAATGCAGAAATTTATCAAGAAATTACTCAAGATCTTCATAAAACCTATAAGATTATGGTCTGTAATTGGTCATTCAAGATCCATTTCTTAGATTCATAGTTGCACTTCTTCCTAGAAAACCTATGTCCAATCAGTAATGAGAACAGGGAATACTTCCATCAAGATATCAATGCAGTGGAAAATGTATGGATGATTTATTGGAGTGAGGAAAGACAAGGCAGGGAGGTCAATTAGAAAGCAATAGTCTGGGAGAATGTTGATAGTTGGTAGCACAGCAGATGGAAAGAAAGGGGAAGAGTGAAAGATGTAGAGAGAGGTAGAAACTTTGGAGGTGGAAATGACAGGCTTTGATAATTGGTTGGCTACATGGGGTGAATAACAGTGACTTTGTGAACAACACTGAAGTTGTGAACCTGGGAGATTGAAAAGGTAGTGGTGCCCTCAACAGAAACAAGAAAGTTTGGAAATGTATGTGTTTAGGGAGAAAGATAATGATTTCTAATTTGGGACAGCTTTCGCTTGGGACACCAGTAAGACGTTCAGTTCAGTAAGTCCAACAGGCAGGACCAGAGTTCAGGGCTGGATATAAATTGATGATGATCTTTTCCCCTACATCATTCCCTCTTCCAAACTTCCCCATCTCTGTTGAAGGTGCTACTATCCTAGTGTCCCAGATCTGTAACCTAGGCATTATCCTCAACTTCTCACTCCATCTTTCTGCACTCCCTCCTTACCTACCAGTCATAGAGTCCATCTCTTCCTTTAAGATACAGCTGAGGCCCAATCTTCTGCATTAAACATTGCCCAAACACCCACAACTGTTAGTTCCCTCCCTCTGAAACTTCCTTATATTCATCTGCTATACTAAATCTGAATCTCTGGGGTACAGTCTATGAATGGTTTGTATACCCCCTTCTCTTATTTCCTCCCACTGTGGTTGCTCAGGAGCCTGAGACCTCAGCTACACGCACTGAGCTCACAAGAGGCCAAGGGCCAGGGTCAAGTGTCCCTCTCCAGAGCTTAGCTACTCAAACTATCCTATGCCACGAGGTTCTAGACCCCCTTTATTCTTTTAAATGAATACAATCACAAGCACTGCCAGAGCCTTCCAAACTTCCCACTTGGGGTAAAGTCCCAGTTGCCCTAACCTGGTTTGATCTCTGATTCATATTGAGCATTTCCCCCTATCTTTTTCAGAAGAACTATTGTCTAGCCACACCTACCCAGCCTGTATTTTTTTGTGCAGTTGACATTTTTAACGCAAGTTCAGGATTTTATGTTTATATTTGTTCAATTTCACCTTATTAGATTTGGACTCAACTTTCTAGCCTGTAAGATAAATGGGAAGGGAAAAAAAGGAGGGGGCAGAAAAGGAATGGGGAGAAAGATTGAGTTATCGCTTCTTCCCTCATTACATCTACCCAGAAAAGATAGAACAAAATCTTCAGGATATGTCTAAATGTGGCAAATATCTCATAGAAACAAATTATATCAGAGTGTCAAGATGCCCAACAGATGACTTTTGATAGTGAGAAGCTCCTACTCACAGGTGCTGTCTTTCCACGTTAGGATAAAAGAAGTTAGGGAACTCACTCTTTGGTAATTTTTGCACCAGCCCCTCTCTCTTTCTCTTAACTTCTCCCACCCCCTTAATGACATTATTACTCCAGAATCAATTCAATTCTTCTTAAGCATCTACTATTTTCAAGGCACTATGCTAGGAGCTTGGGATACAAAGAGAAAAATGAAACAATACCTCCCCTTGAGGGGCTTAGATTCTACAGGGGAAAACATGATGTATGTACAGTACAGTGAAATAAAAGTATTTTGTAGAGGTAGAGAACATTAAAAACTAAGGAAAGGGATATGTACAAAAACAGTCACAGCAAAATTCTTTGTTATACAAAAAAACAGGAGAAGAAAAGGGAGCTAGAGATAGTGATGCCAAAAAAGAAAAGAAAGAAAAGGGCATCTTTGAAGTTTTTCAAAATATACAGAAGAGAGCAGAAGGAAAAGCAAAGGGAGATACAGATCAATGGAATGGCTTTGGAACTAATGTATTATTTGTATACTTTTTTCTTAAAACAGCTATATGTAAGAGAATTGTGGTTACATATAGAGTCTTCTTTTTCTATTCTTTATATCTGAAAATGTTCATTTTGTTGATGTTTTTCAAATTCAAAATAATAATTTTTTAATAAAATTAAAATTCTTATCATTTGGAGCATGGCTGAACAAGTTGTGGTATATGATGGTGCTGGAATATGATTGTGCTATAAGAAATGACAAGGAGGATGGTTTCAGAAAAGCCTGAGAAGATTTATATGGACTGATGCAAAGTAAAGTGAACAGAACCGGGAGAACATTGTACACAGTAATGGCAATATTGTACAATGATCAACTGTGTTAGACTTAGCTGTTCTGATTAATACAATGATCCAAGACAATTCTGAAGGATTTATGATGAAAAACACTATCCATCTCCACAAGTAGAGAATTGATAAAGTTGAAGTGCAGATTGAAGCACAATTTTTTTCACTTTATTTTTCTGTGGGGTTTTTTGCAACATGGCTATAGGGAAATATGTTTTGCATGATTTCACATATATGACTGATATCACATTTCTTGCCTTCTCAATAGATGGGGGACAGGCAGGAAGAAGAGAATTCAGAGCTCAAAATTTTTTAATTGGATATTAAAAATATAGTAATTTTTTTAAAAAGAAAATGGCAAATTTTTTGAAAACTGAAGATGTGGGATCATCAGGGAGCTTCATGGAGGGGAATAGTACCTGAAATTAATCCTGATTAATCCTGAGGAAGATAAGGATACTGAAAAGTAGATGTGAGGAGAGAGACCATTCCATGTATAGAGGAAAGTCCAGAGGCAAGAGCTGGATTGTCAAGTTGAGAGAATAGCTAATGGTCTAGTTCACAAGATCTTAGAGTACATAAAGAAGACTACTGTGACATTAAGCTACAAAGGTAGATGTGAAGAGCTTTAAGTTACTTTGTGATTCTGACCATTCATTTTCTCACTGGCAATATCTCTCCTTCTTGTGTGGGCACTGTTCCTATTCTAGTGTTTTATGTCATCAAGTAATCTGAGTTATTAAATAGCTTTCCTTCTCACCTTCCAGATACAGTATTATTTTCATAGTTGTCAATGGTCAAGAAGCTCAAGGAGACAATTGAGCTGACCAACAGATATCAGGAGTACATGGAGTCCTTGAGCAAAAGCAGGAGACCCTAAGTAGCTGTTCAGTTGTTTTTTCAGTCATGTTCTGACTTTTTGTGACCCCTTTTGGGGGTTTTCTTGGCAAAGATACTGGAGTGGTTTGCCATTTCCTTCTCCAGTTCATTTTACAGATGAGGAAACTGAGGCAAACAGGGTTACTTGCCCAGGGTCACACCGCTAGTAAATGTCTGAGGCCAGATTTGAACTCAGAAAAATGAGTCTACCTGACTTCAGTCCCCTATTCACTGTACCACCTAGCTGCTGACCCTAAACAGACTAGATCTGGAACTAGAGTGAACTTCTGAAGCGATCTAGTTCAACTCCCTCATTTGCAAATGAGGAAACTGAGGTCCAGGGAAGCCCAGTGATTGCCTCAGATCATAAAGGTAAGTATCAGAGCCCAAATCTCTGACTCCAGAAATAATGCTTCATCCACTGCATGGCCCTGCCTCCTTATCATTGGCAGAATATCAGTGGTCTGCCCCTAGGAAGTGGTAGGCCAGGGAATGACCTCAAGGGAGGAAGTAGGACAAATGGGCAGAAGGGTCATATCGATGGAGCCAATGGAAGTAGTGTGTTCCTATGTTAGATGTAGCTTCACACGTTGGGGCTGTGGGTACCTCCGCAACAATTAATTAAAAGATAATTCCTCAAGCTTATTTTCAGGGAAGTCTGTAGTCAAGAGAAAGAAAATGATAGTAAAGTGAATTGTTTCATTGAAGAAGAATATGGTAAAGACCATATTTTTGGAATGTTATTACAATTAATGCAATTATCCTGTTTTGTTGCTGTTCAAGGTTCCCATAATAAAGGGTAATTAGGCCATTTGCCTGGTACACTGAAAAACAATATGTACTCTTTGCCCTGATCCAAGAGGACAATAGTGACCTACTGGCCCTAGAAATTTAGTTTTGTGGCCTGATCTTAGGGAAATGTAACCATTCTGCTCTAGTACTTCAATCTTGGGGCAGCTAGGTGGCACAATGGACAGAATTCTGGATTCGCAGTCAGGGAGACTCATCTTCCTAAGTTCAAATCTAGCCTCAAATACTTACTAGCTGTCTGACCCTGGGCAAGTCACTTTAACCCTGTTTGCCTCAGTTTCCTCATTTATAAAAATAAACTGGAGAAGGAAATAGCAAACCACTTCAGTATCTTTGCTAAGAAAACCCCAAATGGGGTCACAAAGGGTCAGACATTCTGACATGACTAAACTAAAAAAAAAAATGTTCAATTTTGCCTGTCCCAATAGGCATTTGTTAGTTTACACACAGGCACAACATGACTGTGTTTATGTATAATATGCCTCATCATGACATAGGGAAAAGATGGCTCCCACAGTTTCTACCAAGCTGCAAAGGCTTCAGGTATTAGCTCATGATAGGCTGGCATCATTGTCAGAGCTGAAGAGGGAGGGAAGATGCAACATATACATTGATAAGTAAGTAAAAAGCATATACAAAGTAAATCTGGGAGGAAGAGAGAGCATTAACATTAACAACTGTGAGCAAGGAAGATGAATGGCCTTAAACCATTACATCTGAACATAACTCAATATTGCAAGTCAGAGAGGAGACATGACATTAAGAGATTCAAAGCCAACTTTGGAATCAGTAAGACTGGGGTTTAGTTCATATATCTAACACATGCTCATAGGATCAAAAATCTAGAGCTTTACTTTGAAGGGCACAGAGCCTAATTTTACAGATGTGGAAAATGAGGCATAGAGATGTTGAGGGACTTACCCAGAATCACCCAGCTAGGGAGTGCCTGAGGGGAGATTTGAACCTGGGTCTTCCTGACTTCAAGTACAGTAACCTATCCACTACACTACATTGTAAATGAATGGTCATGTCAAAGTCACTTAACCTCTTAGTGTGCTAGGCAACTCCCTAAGAATAAACACTGCAGGATGAATTACCAGCCCACATCAGTGGAGGGAGGTTCTACAATAGAATCTCTCCACTCTAGTAATGGAGGTCTAGATCCCCCCCAAAAAAAATTTAATATATAATGCTACTGCATTTTATTTCATCACCTTCATTCAAATTCAAATGAAATTTCTCATGTTCTACTTGGAGTTCAAACAATGAATGACTGATTCTTACCAGAATTTCTCTTTTTCACCATTCATTACCCTTTAACCATACTGTGAATAAGATAGTCCTTCCCCAGAATTAAATAAAACAAAATCTCATCATATCCCCTCACCACTCCCAGAAAACAGGTAAAGGAATGGGGACACTCTAGGTCCTCAAGTGCTGTCCTTTGACTGAATCCAAACTTCACAGAACAAATCCCCTTAATAAAACAATTTGTTCTGTAAAACTTGGACTCAGCAAAAAGGCCACACCCAAGGTCCTAGAGAGCCACATATGGCCTTGAGGCCACAGGTTCTCCACCCCTGGACTAGGCAATGTATGTTGTGTGCTGTCAGCAGTAGGGCAATCTAGTGTAGGGATATATTATTAGCTTATTTTGTATGTTAAGCAAGAGAGCTGAGGCTATGTGATTTCTCCAATTGCCCAACTTTTACACTGTGTTTACACAGGCAGGATGAACTAAACACTTGAGGGGATAATCCAGATAATTCTTGCAAAAAGAACTGAGGAAGTGAGATTTAACCTAAATTGACTTGTTTATCTATGTTATAGATATTTTGTTAATCTATTTGTTTATCTATGATAATTGAACTCACCAGATTGCTTGGTTCTCTACTGCATCTTGCCAGTGTAGACACTGCCCCTGTGGTTTTCATTAGAAAAATGAACCTAGAAGGGCACACATAAATACATACATAAGCACTAAATTAAGAAATTAACACTTATGTACATGAGATTTGTTGAACGACGTTTCAGAAATGCAAAGCTGTCCTGTTTATTAGGAACTAGAAGGAGGATTAAGTCAGCAGTATAGATTACACATCCCTTTCAGCAGATTTAATTTATACTACATATCTGCAACACACTTATCTAGAAAGACAAATACCAGGAAACTCTTTCTTAGTCCTTTCCTCATAAATTTCATGCTACCCCCTTTTCTCAACTGTCTTTCCAATATACATTTTTGCATAGAAGATACCAAGCCATTCATTCTCTCTCCCAAAATATTCCTGAATATGTACAGCACACAATAGAGTGAAGATTTTTCCACTATTCACTTAGTCCAATTAATATAAATGGCAACCACAGTACAGTTTTTGTCCTGAAGTATGCGGCCTTTAAATTTGCCTCCATTTTTCTTCTCCATCATATCCAAATCCCATGACTAGTTCTTTTCACAGGACCACAGAAAAATGCTGTTGTTGTTGACTCATTTCAATTGTGTTCAAGTCTTTGTGACCCTGTTGGGATTTTCCTGGCAAAGATACTGAAGTGGTTTCCAGTTTCTTTCTCCAGTTCATTTTACAGAAAAGGAAACTGAGGTAAACAGAGTTAAGCGACTTGCCTAGGGTCACACAGCTAGTAGGTGTCTGAGGCCAGATTTGAACACAGGAAGATGTCTTCCTGACTCCAGGCCTAACACTCTATCCACTGTGTCACCTAGCTATCCCTGGAAAATGTACAGAAAAAAAAAAAACAACTGTGCACAGGCCACTCCTAAGATGCTGGCTTCAAAGCATTAAAGACACACACACACACACACACACACACACACACACATATATATATATATATATATATATATATATATATATATCACTTTAAGTTTTGTTTTATAAATGTTACCTAATTTTATCTTCACAACAACCCTGAAAGATAGATGCTATTATATTTGGTGGATGACGAATCTTAGGCAGACAGAAGTTACTTGACTTGCATAGAGTCATGTAACTAGTAAGCATCTAAAGCTGGATTTGTACTGGGGATACAAAGATGAAAATTAAGCAGTCCCTGCCTTCACCTTATTTAGTATGCCCAACAAGACTCTAAGTGATGCCTCCAACTCACTTTTGACTTTGCCCAACTTTTAATCTGTGTCTACACAGGCAGAATAAAATAGACCCCTAAGGCGATTATCCAGCTAATTCTTGCAAAAAAAAAACTGAGGAAAAGGAGATTTGACCTGAATTGCACAAACTGTATACATATATTTTTAAATACACATATTTTATGCACATATATTTTTATGTCATGAGAAAAATTATTCATAGAATTTGGAAGGAGAAGAAAATGGAGAGAGATTTTAAAGTGTGCATACAAAAAAAATTGTTTGGCTATTTATGTTAATCAGAATATACCAAATGTAGCTAACTATTCATTCTTACTCATATTTCATGGTGTGACTTTTATTGCCATTTGCTATAGTTGTCTCTTTTTTATCTGAACTAAACAAATTGTATATGTATATATATATGCATATATATATTTACTAAAGATACAGAAGTGATCAATTCATATATGAATGTATATACACTATATACACATAGATGTGCACAAATATATCTATTCTGAGTGTACAATAATCATGTGATTTCAAGACACACCAAATGGCCAGCCTACAAATAGTATTAGGAGGCCCACTTTGAGGTCTATGGTCATTTCAGAGAACTAAAGTTACAAAAACTTTAAAGTAATATCTTTACTTACAAATTTATTTATCCTTTAGCCACTCCTCAAATCAAGTTCCTAATTCCCTAATTCCAATTATACCAGGGCAGCTTATATTGTTATAAACATCTTTGGGGGATTAAACCTTTAATCACAATTTTTAAATGAATGTAATAGTTGATAATATATATTCATTGCCTAATCAGGAATAAAAATTATAATCCCATAAAAGCTGTTTAATAACAATTTGAACTACTGAGCACATAATTAAGGGTGTTAGGGGATTAGAAATGAGATTTCAAGGTGGCCACAGGGTAAATTCAAGGACTTTAGATACTTTTTTAAAGGGGGGGGCAGGGCGAGAGGAAGAGACAATGCTGGAACAAAGTATCAAGGCTTCTAGAAGGTGCCTATATTTGTGTTTGTATAATTATGCCTAGTGTATAGGCAGTTATAATTAAATTACCAGTGTGGCTTGTGCTTAGTAGAATCTTTTGTTTAAATATACCTCCTTTTTCAGATCATGAAACTCATTAATAAACAATTTAAGGTCTATTTATGAATATATTTTGATTTATAGAAGCAAACCAAAGACCTAAGTAAAACTGCTCTGGGATGCTAAAATGCTAATTATTCTCCTTTCTAATATGCTATGAGAGGGAAAAAGTACAATGACCCAATTCTGTGGTCCTCACATAGGCAGCCCTCTCATTACATTGATATATTTTACCTTTAAGGGTAAAATATATGCCATATGCTTCCAAGTTGCTTTTTTAGTAGAAAGGCCCACAATAGCTCTGGCAGAGAGGAGTGGCCCTACATTTTCTGTGCATTAAGCAATCCAGTAAAGGAACCATTTTCACTAACATAGTCAGTGAATTGGGAGCCAAATTCCCAAATTTTTAATATTACAGTATTAAGCACCCATTATTTCTCTTTTGCTTGAATGGATAAGATAGAAGCAATTTCAATAGTGTGCAAAAAAAAAAATCTGCTGCTTATTGCCAGTGTAGGTTATATGTGGAAGAATTCCTATTAAAGCAAATGGAAACTAAATGTGTTTGAAAGCAGAATTTACCCCCTGGGTTGAATTTCACATACAGAAGAATTAGAGATTCGGCCGACAGAGACCTTACCTATTAAAGACTATTAGAATGCTCAGCATTTTTCAGATGAGGACATCATGACCTTACTGGGCAGTCTGTATTCAATGAAAAGTCTGGTTCATTTCAAAGGACTACATTAGAATGGCAAGATCTACACCACCCCCAACCTCCATTCTCATAACTAACTACAGAGGGAAGAAAATGGGACTTCTTAGGCAACCGAGGCTGTAGTGACTGCCTAAGCCTCCTATAGAACTCATGTCAATAGGAGTTCTGTGTCAAACAGAAAATCCTTCTACTGAGTAAAAAAATCTCAAAAGCTATGTCATGACTATGGATTCCACCCTGAGAAGAGCAGGCGGGAATTACATTGTGCCGTTAAAATGTTAGCAACCACATTTCATTTTTGAAAAGGCAATTTATTTGTCCTGAAATAAAGAGTTGATTATATCTCTTATTACTGTTACAAGAATTTGATATATCACAAAGTGGGAGAGTTACGACATGTACCAACTATCAACCAGGAAAAATGAACCTGATTCATAATTCACTTGGAGAATGTCTAGTTAGTCAATCAAGTGATTTGTAATCATAAAGGCTGCCAGGAATTGAATGAATAATGGGCCACACTAAAATCCTTGGATTTTCGAGTATTCTTATTTCATTATGTGACTTTTATTGCCATTTCTGATAGTTGTCTCTTTTTCAGCTGAACTAAGTAAATTATACATATTTATTTGAAAATATCTTTGACTGTTTATTGGCCAAAAGGATGTATGCAGATGTAGAGACTAGCATACATAACACCTAAAAAGAGACAAAAAATTAAAAGCTTTATACTTTAAAATTGAGGTGGGGGTAAAGGATAAATCATTCCCTCTCCTCTTTTTCGACTATACCAAGTTGTTGCAATTTCACTAGAAGGATCCCACAATAATTCTAGCCAAGAAGCTTTTTCCATGAAGGAGTATATTCAATAATACAGTATCAAGCCAAGCCTGTAATCCCTGCTACTGAGGACGCTGAAGCTGGCAGATGTCTTGATCTCAGGAGATCTGAGATGCAGTGATCTAAGTTGATCAATCCATACTAAGTATGGCACCAATACGGTGAGCCCCTCAAAACAAGGGGCCACCAGGCTGCCTAAGGAGGGACAAACCAGTCCATGTCAGAAATGGAACAAGTCCAAGCTTCCACTGGGATCAGGTACATGAGTGGTCACTGCACATCCAGGCTAGGTGAAATAGGGAGACGTGATCTCAAAAAAAAAAAATTAAATGAAGTAACATTAGTGCTCAGCACTAATAATATTAAGGAATCTTTTCTTAAGCATATATAGAGCACACTATTGAAATTGCTTCTATGTATATGTGTGTATACATATATACATATGTATGTATATATGTGTATGTGTGTACGTATATGTATGTGTATATAGATATACATATGTATGTAAAATAGCATGGACCATATAGCAAAATCCAGTTAATAGCGGTAATCTCAAGGTTCCTTTTCTAGTATTCTAATTTTACAGTATTAAAATTATGAGCACACTATAATCTGATAGGCAAAAGACATTTGACCTCCAACCATAGCAATCTTGTTAAACTACAGAGGAAGGAAGTGTAAAAGCAGCCTAAATCTTAAGTTGCATCTATTAAAAGGAAAATATGATATATACATATTGTTTAAAATGTGGAACTGCTAAAATTATACTTAATATGGTACCTCTTTGCAGCACCTTAGAGTCTGTCATTTTAACTATAGTTACTATCATGAGCATTTTGGTCAGGACACTAGTGGAAAAAAATGAATATGCTGAAATGACTGGAGCATGTTACACACAGTAATAAATATAGAGGCAGGTTCTTGGATTGACTTCCTTAAAATGATTTTCATCCAGAAGGATGCTTTTCAAACTTTATGGACTGATTACAACTATGGCTTTATTGCACAAGAGCACACATGGATCTCCTTATGGAAAGTAATATTGACTTTGCTCAGCTGCTTTCTTTATTTTCTTCTCTTTCTTTTTGATTTTTTTTTCAAGAGACGGCTTGTGGATTAGGAGAAAGGAAGGATTTGTTCAAAAAAATTTGATATAAAAGCAAAAGA